TTCCGGGGGGAGCTTCCCCCGGACCCCCCTTGAGAAGGTGAGGTCCGACCCCCATTAGCACTTTACCCCTGCCTATATGCCGTGAGCTGAATATGGAGCCTTCATTGTAACAGTAATTCAGATGCAATTAGCCTATATAAAAGGCCTCAAATTGGAAGCACTGTCTGGGCCGTCTTTTTCACTCAATTCTGCAATAGGTAGATCTCGCCTTTCACCTAGGCCGAGGTCGGTGATCTTGGGCTTAAAAAGGTTGGTGACCACTGATCTAGAGAATTCGAACGGCTCTTATCATGGCTGCCACTGAGGGACTTCCGGGTCATTTCACTCCGTTAGGAAGGTTCCTAAGCTAAATTGACTATTCGACCGCAACCCAGGGGCAGACCAGGTGCACCTGCACAGCAGGGAGACAGAAAGACAACAAGGAGGGGAGCACGTAACACAGACTATTGATCAAATCACTGAAAGAATGTTTACTTTATAGCCAGTTTTTCAAAGCCAGCCAAAAAAAAGATGATAAAGTAATTGATAATAAAACAAGCTGGTTTTAGATATTTTTTTTTTTAATTTCAGTTTACAATTTTCATGCTATCTGAGGACAAGGAGAACTAATGACCATGATGGCTCCATCCGTCCATGTGACTGTTAAAGTGTGTGTGACAGTTGTGGTGTGCCAGACAAATATTTAACAAGCTAAAAAATATTTTCAATTTTCTAAGAGAATGAAAAGCAACCCTACTAAAGTAATCTTAAACTATTCATTCTGTCCAGATTTTCTCTTTATTTCCTAAATAATGAGAAAATCAATAATATTTACCCTAACCATACCAACTGGGGTCCCTGTAGGACTCTAATATCTACTTTCTGTCATAGCCCACATAAGCTCAATTTATCCTGACTATATCAAGTTGAGTCATCATAATGACTTAATATCCTTGATTTCTGTTACAACCAGTGCTTTTTGAAGTCTGAATGTATTTTCATTCAAAAGCAATAGATGAAACCATTTTTTAAAGTTCATAATTTCATAACGTATATATTTTCCATGGTTCTAGTTTAAAGTCAGACAATCACAATCGTTCAACAGACACAGATTGAGGCAGGCAACTTCCCTTACGTGCTTGTTCTATATTTATTTCACACAATCTGCAAATCAATTGAAACTTTTATTTCACCTAAGATGAAAAAAATGACATAACTAATATGTTTTTGACAAGAACTAAGTTAATATTTAGCTTTGAATGTTGTTCTTTGCAGTGTTTGATACTCTGAGCCCCCTGTCAGGATTTCTTGTTTGTTAAATATGTTGGTAGCATGAGGGTACCGGTGATAGTGTGCAGCCTCTTGTGCCATGTTTAACTTTCAGTCCCTGTGTTTGTTTATCAGGTGGGCTGTGCTGACCTGGAGCACATTGCTGCCAGTATGAAGGCCCTGCTGGCCCCTGGAGCCAATGATGGGACAGAAATGTTCGGAGCCCTGCCTCGGCCCCGTCTCAATACAGGGGACTTCTCCCTCAAGCACTAAGAGAGAGTGAGGCCAGTGGAGAGAAAGAGATAGAGGGGGAGAGAGATAGAGATAAAGGTTGTCATGACGGCCGGAGTTGGGTTGGCTGGCAGATGTGACGTGCAGTATGTGAAACAATGTAAAAGCTATTACCTCCATTTATTTCTCACTAACCAAATTTGAACTGCACATGCTTTGGGGAAAATGTTGTTATGAACACTAACATTTAAACATTTCAACACTATACCCCCACCAACCCCGTCACTACATGTCACAACACCAGCAACTACACAACCCTCAACACTACATTAAACACTAAAACGATGTGTGTAGGAGTCCAACTGGCACGGCCAATTGGTAACTGTTCAGCATTTAGTGTGCAAGGCTTGGTAGTGTGTCCTGTGGTAAAATTACCTGCGAAGTGAAGAGAGTTTGGAGAGCAGCATCAGGCTGGTGCAACATTCACGGCTCCAGTACTACATGCTAACGCCCTAACAGAAACCATTTTGAGCTATAGCCCCAATATTATAATGTGTAATAGTTCTAAAGCTCAGTTTCTCAGTTTCCTTAAAAAAGGATTGTTTGAAATTGGGTTTAAAGTGCTTATCCATGCTCAGTGTACAACCAACTACTACCAGTTTACAAAAACAAAGAGTACCAGCAGCGGAGCGTAGTTAAGCTACCTAAACGGAAGGCCCATCAACATTTAATTTTGTTTGATATCTGTTTATGTATTATTAGGTGTACACTATAGCTAATAACTTAAAAAAATACTGTACTCTTCAAAACCACCAGACTTATTGAAATATTTGTACTGGTGCAACAGGAGAATATTTCTTTACTTCAGGACTGGTACTTCTATCAGTTTCTCCTAACTATCCCTTTAAACAATTAATGGCTAAGAGAGGGAGTCAGTTACTTTTCTGAAACATGATATAAAATCTGTTTACAGGAACAGTTGAACATCTTTTATTTCACTCTCTTATGTCTATGCAAGAAGTTTGGAGCAAGACTCGCGAGATGGTTACCAAGTTAACATCCTGTAACTATAACTGTCTCCCAGCCTAGCCCTAGCTCATGGCCCTCTGCATTTAGCCCAACATATACTGGATTTTAGCATGAAGGACCAGAGCCAGTGATCTCCCAGACCCCATGGATGTTTTCAGGCACACATATGGAAAAAAGGTTGTCTTTTCAAAATGTGAGGACACCAGTTCCTCCAAATAACTGGCCTATTTGAAATTTTTCTTTTGCCAATGAATGACTGACTGATAGTATGATTGTAAAGCAATACTGAGTTATAGGTTGTTGTTTTTTCTGCTCCAGATATCTTGTTGAAATGACCGAGTGAATGAAAAAGTGACTGTATGAGAAAGAGAGAGCTGAATGAGTGGATTTGAAAGGAAAATGTCCGTCTTTGACATTTCAAAAACAAACAAATGTTCCGTTAAGTACGTTAAGTTTCAAATAAAGGAGCAACACAGAGAAAAAAAAGACTCATTGTATGTTTATGTGTAAGGGTACAATTATATTAAAGGCCACTAGAGGGCGTCAGCAGACTACTGAAGTGAATACAAATATATGCAGTCTATGGTTAATATCTGATCTACGGTCATCCCTGATATGCAGTATCAGACAAACATAATGCAACATCAGTGTTATTACAGAATAGTTTAATTTATTACTACATTCAGCACATAAAAAAGATGCAGACTCTTAAGTTAAACAAGCACTCTAGTACAGTCCTCTAGTACAGTCCTGCGTGTTACAAAAACATACAAGACCTAGACTAAAATACTAAGTTAAATAAAATACAGAAAAAGATACACAATAGCAAATTAAATAAGTAGCCATCTTGGATATAATATGAGATGAATAATTGTTCGTCATGCAACCAGAGAAAGCAAACTACAAAGATGGCACAACGTGCTGCTTTTACAACTCCAACACTTGTTCCCCAAACATTGTCGCCCAACCCCCTCATTACGAATCATGCTCAATCCTCTTCCGTGTCACTGATCATTTTTCCGGATAAGGCAGAATGAATTTGTGCCAACCCAGAACGCGGGGTAAATCTTCTCTGTGATGTTGGCCTTGAACTTGTGAATCAGCCGCACCTCCTTGTTCTCCCCTTCTCCTTCCACAATGAGCAACTTGATAATGCCGGCGGGCTGGTCGATGTACATGCCCATGGTGGAGGTCAGGGGGAGGGAGACATCCACGTTATCGCTGTTGTGCCACACTTGGTAACAGGATCCAGACCAGCCGGCCCCCCAGGAGACACTGTTCTCCCCGAGGCCGCAGGGGCCACGGCCGTCCTGGACCTTCCGGGGCGCGCTCTCAAACACGGCCCCAATGACCACCCAGCCATCGTAGTCCACCTCCCAGTACGCTCTGTATCCCATCACACCCTCCTTACACAGCACCTGATGAGGAAGGAGGCACACAGAAGGAAATGAGGCGGGCTACAGTCCAAAGTTTAGAAAATGGTGTCCCTTCTGAATGTATCAACCTTCACATTACAAACATGTTGCTTTTAATTTTTATATAGCGAACTGAATATGTTCGGTTTTTAGACTGGCTAGCTATTACGTGCATTTTTCAGATGTTTGACAGAACAAAACTAATTAATTAGTATATATTTATATCGTGACTATTCTCAAACAAGCCAGGACCCTAAAATATTTAGTAAAGACTGAAGTAAATACATTACATTTATTTAAGTACTGTATCACTTTGAAGATGTGTGACACCAGTATTCCCATTTAAAGGTCTCCTGTACTGTTTTTCATCAATATATTATAGGTCTCTCGGATATACAAAACATGTAGCATCCCATAATCCCTCTGTTTCAGCCCTGTTTCAAAAGTGCTGATTCTCTGTGTTTTACTTTAGATGAAAATAAGGTGCCACTCCCAACACCCTCTGTGAGATATTTGGTTAAAAAGAACACAATGGAGCTCTAGGAGGAGATTCAGGTGATAAGGTGGGGTGGGGGGGGGTTACCTTGGTTGGTGATGGTTACACAAGCCAAAAAATCGTTATGACATCATAAAGTGGCCAAAATCGGATCAGCTCATTTTCAGACAGGTTTTTATATAAATGGATCAGGACAACAAGTGAGAGAATTCTTTTTTCCTGAAACTTCCAGAATGTCTTTACACAGAGGGGACACATGTTTATGTATAAAAGACATCAAAAAGTGAATTTTGCACAATAGGTGACCTTTAAATACTTAAATATAGTTAACAGGCCTACCTGTGGAGAGTGTTCATATCTCTCAGGCCTGTTGGGGTACGGGCAGACGGCCTCTGAAGTACGGGCCACCTTGGACCCTGCCTCTGAGATCCACAACAGTTTCTGTGCCGTTTTATCATCGAGAGAGATGGGCAAAAAATCTGAGAGAAACAAATACAAGCAGAAAGTGGGAGACACAAGGTGAAGAAGCAGCAAGACAGGTTTATGTTTCTTATAGATACAACATGTTAAATGGTATAATACATTTTAAAAGACTTACGTTGGAGGAAGTCAGCCCTGGTTGTGGGCTCAGCAAGATTTGGATCATATGGCGGCAGCTTCTCTGAGGTGTCAGACAGGAGAGAATTATAAGGAAATGCATACAACTGGATCATAAGTGTATTATCACATTAAGATGACACTATGTAGCTCTTTACCTTCTGGAGCATTGCTGTTTTTTCTTCCTGCAAAAGAAGAAGATAGCTTGTCATTTCACTGCAACAATAATATATAAGACATTGAGATACTATACAGTGGTGGAAAGTAACTAAGTCCACTTACTAAAGTGTTCAGTTTTGAGGTACTTCTACTTCCATTTGTGCTCTTTGAATGGTCCTTAACTACATTTCAGAGGGAAAGTATTTTGTGTTCTTACTCCACTACATTCATCTCACACCTTTAGTTATACAATATATATTTATATCAGGATTTCACAAACAAAACATATAGCTTTACTATGGAAGTCAATAGAGGACTCAAATAAAATGATATAAAACTGTAATTTCAAAATGGCATTATTCTGTATAATGTAAAGCAATTCAATGACTAATGCCCTTTTGATTTCTAAAGGTTAGAAATGTCATCATAATTTCATCTGTGGATTAGATCATGCTTGCACAGATGTGACTTCTACATAACAAGTAGCCTATGTTTTACTTTCATTATTTTCTAGAAATACTTCAGTCTTTTTTGAGGCAGGACTTTTACTTTTATTGGAGTGTTTTTATACTATAATACTTCTACGTGTGTGAAGGTTTTGATTTGTCCAGCACTGTTTAATATGTTGGCCTCTCCTTGGATGACAATCTTTTGTGTGACACCAACTGATAAACTGCATCCAGCATCTTCAAAGCTTCTCATCTTCATCAACGCTTCTTTTAGGCTGCCATTCACAGACGGTAAATCAGCTTTAACTCTCAATGTGTTTAATGTGTTGATCACACGCAGGAGTATGTGTACTATGTCGGCTCAGTCCTGATTCATGAAGTTTAAGGTTTCGACATAAGGAATCTGGAGGCCAGAGCATACCTCCGAGGACACACATCATGGCCACTGACAACATGGAGTTTCATTCTAAGAATATTTCGGTAAGATGCTGTTACTTCAAACCGCCAAGGGCATGTTTGTCACTGTGGGCGGGTGTATAATCTCTGTTTGTTCCTCCTCCAGTTTGTCAGTCAATGTGTCTTCTGACATTCGGAGGAAACTGCTATCCAATTCTGGCCAGTCAGGTCATCATCGGTCCCCCTCTGTGTCCATCTAAGTCAGCCACGCTCAAATTACTGTTCCTCATATTTCACACGGACAACTAATTCCTCATCCTTCTTACTCGCCTATCAGACTGTGACATCACCACATCACATTATTTTGTGTGTCCTTTGCTTTTGCCATAATTAGACAGAACATCATCTATATTTCTGATTCCATATATGAGGAAGGATGCAATTTCCATACAGCTCATGGCTGTGTAGCAAATGCATGAATGGTCCTTAGAACATCGTTTCTTACCGTGTGTCATGTTGACCTCCAGGGTTTCTAATTGATGTTCCCTTTAATGTTCAAAAATAGCACTGTTCTGCTGAGTTTGAGAATATCACATTATGTATAAGCAAGTTCCAACTAATTAAATTGCGAGAAATATTTAAACCCAAGATTACATAGCTGTATCATACTGGCAAATGGAAACTAAAATAGTAATACTCAAGTACTAGTAAATATTTAACACTAGAAATGGGTCATTTTAAGTTTAGCATTTTTATTTTGTCTTGTGCTTCATCTTTTTAAAGTACAACTTGTTTATAGGCTATTTATAGTTCTATTTTGTATTTTATTTGATTGTTTCATGACAAACTTGAACCAAACCAAACCAAGAAGATCTTTAAAGTTAATGTTAGCATATGTTAAACCTAATGTGTTCATGAATCATTACCTGAAAAAGTAAATGCACTGAATGCCCTTTTTAAACATGGCGGTTGGTCTTTGATCAAAGCAGTGATAGTGCTCATTATGTCCGCAGAGGGAGCCAGCTCTTTAAGGTGCGATGGTTTATCCTGGGAGATGTCTTCGCCTTAGGAAACATAACCTCTCAGACCTGCGTGACCCTATGCTGAGGGCGGACATATTGAGTCTGGTGTAAAACCTGCAGTCATTAGACATGATGGAGGCTCTTGCATTGCTTTGCATGAACCTGCTGTTCCTCTAAGTGTGCCTAATGTGTTCTGAGAGGGCCGCCTTTAAAACGGTTGGCTTTGAAGTAAGAGATCCCACCGATCCTTTATAGTCAAAAATACTAAGCAGTCATTTAAAATCTAAATATATATACAGTATTAGTGTATTGTTATGCTGGAGAACATAGTGTTGAAGACAATTACTGGACTGAAGCCACTAAGACCGGAAAATTTGATAATTGACTTGGCATGCAGAAATATTAAGCCTACAGAGGCTTAGGGTCCAATAACACAGTAGACTTCAGTTTTGATATTGTCCGCCATGTGGCCTTACTGACTTTGGCAGCAAGCCTGCTGGAGTATCGTCGATCTGACCTTCAGATGTACAGAGCAGACAGGGAGAGAGGAGAGCGTTGGCCATGTTGCCTTCGTTTGATATTGGTGTTGCAAAAGACGCTGGTGACAGATCACTTCATTCATCTTGCCTCCCCTACGTTCCCTGATCTCGCCTCAGAGGAACACAGCAGGTGAGCAAGGAACCCGATGAAAGCAAAGCCAAGTGGAATAGTGCTGGGTTTTGCCGAGCATTAAGAGGAATTACTGAGAATAGAGTTGAAGACAGACGTATAACATTTATCATCTTGAAATCTGCGTGATCTTTCTGGCTTGTATTCAAGGGGAGTTAGGCAAACAACCCAGTAACGTTGGAGTAAGATATCAGGCTGGCACAAAGTGTGTTGGGTGATTTGGAGATGTGCCAGCTCTCTGGCTGCTCTGTCGAGGTTAAACCCTGCGGATGCTCAGCTGGATCAACAGGAAAGTCCCTCAGAGATAAACAGATAGCTAAACAGATTAATTGCTTGACATCACAGCTACAGAGACACGAAGGAGATGGAATGGGATGCAAGAGGGAGGTGTGAGACATTGAAATATTTTAGGGCAGTGGGACCATAAAAAAAGACACCTCATAAATCAAGTTGGAAATATTGGCTGAATATCTGGATGAAGCTGTTGTGGTTGAGCAAAGGAGCTGAGCTGGAGTTGTCTAAAACATCAAGCAGATGACAGGTGGATTTGGGTATGGATTCACCCCAACAACAAAGACAAAGTTTCGTCCTCATGTTTAAAGGAGTGCACAGTTCAGCAAGACCCCACCAAAAGGTCAACATTGGATCTTGATGAGAGCTGTTTGTTTTTCCATTTTAGACTTTTCCCTACCCAGATTCCCATCCCAGTGGGATAGAGCTACATTATCTGTGTGGATCAAGTTCAAAACATCCTACTGAGGCAGCAAGATTGAAATATAGTGGGAGGGAATGGGATGAGCATGGTTGGCTCCGTGCCAGGCTCATCCCTCTTCCCTGTCAAGACTGACTGGCTGAAAGCCCAGTGCACATGTGAGGTGGAGACGGTAAGGAAATAACACGGAAAGACAGATGCATGAAGGATTCTGGAATAATGGAAGCCATTTAAAGAGCTGGTACAAAAACAAGAGGGACCCATATATAAATAGTGTATCCTCCTTCCCAGAATTACCACTTTGAATAGGTAATTCACTCATGTTTAGCAACCTTTGATACATCATAGTTCAGAGGACAGGGTGCCGTTTGTCACATATTGGCTGATTTATATAGCCAGGGCTTTCATATTTTCAACTGGAATAACTGTAACTGCAGCAATTCACAATTCATAACTGTGACTGCCAGAGGAGGAATTAAGAACATTTGGGCTCAGGGCTGGAAGGGAGAGTTGGTGGGTGTCTGAGTTGTGGAAGCTTGTATGGAATAGGGAAACACTCAGCATAGATGATAAATATCCCAAAAAAGCAGGAAAGAGACTAGATATGTTTTTACGAAGAACTACCAGTAGTGACAGAGTGGAGACAGGTGTGTCATTTTAGAAGGGAAAGAAATACAATCTCTGAAATTGTAGATTAGGCTTTGACATTAAGGGGAATTTGATAAGCAACGACACAAGTGCAGAAGAAACCATAACCGCCATGGGAGAGGATCATTCGTGCACTTTGTTGACATGAGTAATGGTCCGAAGGAAACACGCAGTATCCAAGGTGAGGGAAGGTTTTGATCTATGCTGACATACTGGGAGGGTCAGCACGAGGTAACTTGACAACTTTAAAACAAACATCATATGATACACAAACTTAATTGATCATAAAACACTGTGCCAAGTAATAAATACATTTGATCTGCTTGATGACATATTTTGAATAAACTAGGACTTTGCTAGATTAACAATATAGTACATCTCTGTGTTCTCTGGTTTTTATAGGGTTGCATTGCAAAAAGAGAGTGAAAACTCATTTAGAACTTAATAGATAATTGCGATTTTTATATAACATTTGAAACCCTGAAGCTCTGATTCTCCTTAAACTAAGGAATGGTTTGTCTTTTTTGCATATGACTTTCAGTGCAAAATAGAAAGAGAAAAAGCTCTGAAAGGTTACTCAGATTGGAAACAGAGATGTGTGTTTAGACGTCACACGGTATTAAGCAATATAAATCAGAGAATATCACACATTTAAATCAGATTAAAATGTCCAAAATCTGAGTGACAAATGATAAAAACCCTCTTTAAAGGTATAAGACATTTTAGCTTCCACATTTGCTTAGAACTATTAGTCCTACTTATACCTGAACTTTAATTGATGAAGTAGCAAAGGCACATTTAAATAAATCAAAATACGTAGACAGGAGCTGCTTTCACTCTAACGGCACATGGTGTTTGCCCTCACAAGTCCCAGTAGGAACTCAGGTATCGGTTTCTTACCTGCTTTCCTGGGGACAGGCATGATTCCCTTGGTGTTCACAGCGCTGATTGGGATCAAACGGGGAGGTCTTGTGATAGTGTGCCTGTGCGTCTCTGGGGGGTCTCTCTTATTGACTTCAAATGAGGTNGGTGGGGGGGGTGGTGGAGGGGGGTTGCATACATTTTGGTTGGATGTAACCGTGACCCAAAGGGATGGTCCACCTGTCCTCGTGTCACATGAAACTCACAATCCTTTCCAGGGATCAGATAGAAAGAGACAAGCAAATACCCAGTATATCCCAAGTATGCATGCTCATTTGCAAACACATGGACTGAGCATGTGTGTGAGGCACACGCCCCAGATGTAGCAAACACAATTACGTGAAATAATGACAGAAACGTAATAATTAAACTAAAGAACATTTTGCATTGGGGGACAAAGGTGATGCACACATGTCTAGAATATTTGAAGATGTTGGTGCCTGAATTGACATGTGCACTTTATTTCTTGTGCTTAGTATGAAGCCTTACCAACACGATGACATCACTCCCAAGCATGAATGGCCACTAATTCAAAACTACCTCTTAAAACTGACCCTGACACAAGCTGTAGGTGTTTGTGTCTGTGTGGGGCGCAATGGGGGCCGTCAGTATTTAAGATGGCAACCAGCTTCTCACTGGCGAGCTGTCGTCAATCTCAGCTCTCATCAGTCAGCAGCTGCTGTAAAGGCACTCTGGAAGAGAAGTAGGGCTAAGTGTACTTAAGTGCTGGTGTGGTCATAGCTTGAAAATAACAGCAGCCTTTGTACACAGATGTTGATTACATTCTTTTAATTGAATACAAAGTACAGGACAGGCAGGCCCTAAAGACATGATTGGGCGACTCACAGTCCAGACACACATTTTCTTCTATGATTCTTTGTCTGAGCATTTGAGCTTGGTATGTAGGGAGCATTTTAACATTTAAAACTTTTATATTACCCATCTCGAATCTTAGCAAGAGTAGGGGTACTGCAGCTCGGACAAGATCACATTTAAAACATGTTTACTTTCTGAGGAGGCCCTGCTGTCCAAAAATAGAGAATCATTAGTAAGACAGGAGCATGTCTGGGTTAAAGTTCAGGTTCAGGTTCAGGTGCAGGTAATAGAAGCTTGAGAGCAATAGCAGGCAGCTAGAAAGCAACATTGATACTTACAAACTGACAATGAATGTGAATGAATAAGGCGGGGAGAAAAGGAAGCTCAGGTGAGGAGAATGAGGTGATTGCAGAGCAAATGGGAATGTCAGGACCGGGGGTGTAGGGGAAGACAGGTCTGAGGCTATCTGATGGATAATAAAGATTAATGTTGAAGTTTGGAGTAGTGGGAATGTGGCTGGAAGGATGGACAGAGTGACAGAGTGAAAGGAAAACACACAACAATAGTATGTACTGTGAGCAGCATTTTATTTTTGAAAATGGTAGTTTAATTGTACCTTCTTTTTATATTGTTTGCTATTTTAGTCAACAATTATTTAAAAGAAAACACAAACACACAATACAATAAAATACAAATCTGTAATAAGTAAGTGATAACTATAACAAATATACAAGTACAAATATGTTACATTGTACTTAAGTACAGTACTTAAGTGATTGTCTTGTTCCTTTGTTATTAACAACCACAGTAATACATGTTCACCAAATGAAAAGCAATACATTATCAGACAATGTTTGGAATATTTATTTTACTGGCACATTTTAATTGACTTAAGTTAATAGGAAATAACTCCCTGTCACAAGACAGTGTCTCAATGCTATTAGAAGAATAATTTAAATGAAGTGTAACTACCCGCTTAACGCCCGCTCCTTTAATACCAGATATTCTCCGTGTGAAGCACGAACACATTTCAACACCTGCTTCTTACTGCTGTCAATGAGAGGGCTTAAATAGTATTGTACCCTAACCTTTGGGTGTGTTTAGGGTTGCTATGTTATACATTCAAGGATATTATGTAATATTCAAGTGTATATTACCTTCTAGCTTGGCCATTAAAAATGTCCTACACGCTAACATGGTGGTGCTATGGTGACATGTATAACATGATTGGGTGTGGGGGATATCTTAAGTGTGAGCCTGTAATCTGCGAAGGCCTGCTGGGATCCTTTCAGTGACTTCGTGAAGTTTTCTTTGCTCTCTGATTGACAAGGCAGGTGCTTCCTCCTCTCACTTCTGGCTCACTGCTTTGTATCCTTGTGTCCTCATTGGCTCTCAGTTTGAACACCGTGGGGTGTTTTTATTCTAGAGTAAAGGACACAGCTGTTGTTTGATAACAACTTATTGTGAATAATTAATTAATATAATTATTATTATTATTAAGAATAATTGACTTGAGTTCCAAAAGATACAACATTGTAAATATTCAATTACGATTAAAAGTCTGTTATTTTAAATCCAGCTAAAGTACTCTCAGCCAAAGTGAAAGAAGAAATTGTCCCCAATAATTGATTGGTTATATTTAATGGCATTTTAGATTGTTAATCCTGATAAATGTATAAGCAGCATGTTTTTATTTACTTATATTGAGCAAATGTTAACTTATATACAGACAGGTAGTTTATTGAGAGCACCAGATAAATCTGAGGATCATAATGATTAATGGTGGAGAAAATAATAAGAATAAAACTTGTATATGTTTTATGAACTTTTCTGGAATATGTATTGATGAGTGGGGCTTTTAGTAATATATCAATTATAATGAGACACGCATAGTAAAAATGTCCAGATTTACAGTGTGATAATGACAGGCTAAAATCAACTCTCCCCCCAACACTTTAGTGCAACATAAACTGCTTCTAAATCATATAGGATGTCAAGAGAGGGGGGCAAGAGAGGGGGGGGGGGGGGGGGGGGTTGTCCTGCCTATCACATGGTGTCATGCTGACATTGGTGGTGTCCAGGCGACAGAGCCATGAGATTTATAGGTAACTGCTGCTAAGCAAGCGGCTGCCTGTTTCATGTATCTCTGCCATCATGTGTACTCCTGCTAAATTGCTCTGCATTACATCATTTACCTTCTAACCTCTCTCTATGTTATTAAAACCACACGAGCGATTGGATAGCTTGTCAATTAACTGTTGAAAGTGCTAGTACATCATATTAATAAATCATCACATTTGAAATGATTTACAGCCACTACTGGCCTCTTCTGCATTTTAGTTTGTATGTCACACTAAGCATTCCTTTATGACACAACAGGAAGTGCTCTAAACACATTGATGCACTTACCAATGACAGGTGCCTGGAGTGAAGGGCAAAGCATCAATTGATGTTCATTTAGATTAGAGAGTAGATAAGTAGTCTTATCTGTTTTGTGAGAGGAGTAATACCAATACTGATGCAGCTGGTGCTGTATGGTCAAAGCTACCAGTTATGTTAACCACAATCTCATTTGAAGTCTGATTTAACAGAGGTTTTACAATAACCTAAAGCAAAATGTTGGTTTTTAGCTTGTCCTGGTTATGTTATGTTAGCTATGTAAGGTTTTTTGTGGGCGGCCACACTAATGGAGTAAAGAGCCAGACTTCATAGAGAGGTGCAAAACGTGACAGTCGTTTGAATATGCTTATTTAGGGACCATCCAATAAGAAAGGAACTTTATCAAGAGTTTACTAAACAGGCGGATAAATACACAGCTTCAATAAAAGTGTGAATGACTCAAACTTGCTCTAATCTGACCTGGAACAGACATGTTAAAGAGATTTATCAAGGTCTTTGAAGACAGTAGTGTTGAAGCACAACAAGAAGCGGAGGTTTCTCGATACTGGATCTTCCTTATTGAATTAAACAACATTTAAAAAAAGGAACAATAGCAATCTCCTAGGGTGTACTGTGTGTGAGTCTTTTACTTACTAAATGTTTCATGTGATTACTACAATTTTAAGCAGGTCCATTTGACTTGGATATGACTTTGTTATTTTTAGTCGTATGATGATTTCTGCCTGTAGTCTGTGATACACTTGTTGAAAGCAACATGTGTTCACAGAATGTGTGGTCTTAGTGTATTTGCAAACATACATGATTCCATTCCTAATGATCACCACAATCATGTGTCTCAGTGTCCCCCAGCTTCTTGGTAGACGGACATACATCACAGATCCTGCTGATAGGCCTCCCATGACTCATTAGTGTTTTTGCTGAAAGTAGAATAGCTGAGATTGTTGAGTTTTCAAAGTGGAATGAGGAGCTGGACTGCAAAAACTTTAATACAAGTTTTTACTTTGATCATTGTGTAACCCTGATAATATCACACGAGAACACACAGCTTCTCTCGCTGTAACCTCTGCCCCCATCTGACAGAAGCAGATCTCTTTACAAATAGATTACTTGTGTCGTTCGGCTCACCTCCTTCTATTTCTCCAGTTTCCCTCAGCTGTTGTTATCACCTTATTTCACAGCAAAAGAACGTGAAGAGCAGTCACAGGAGAGGGCGGTGCGCTGTGTGACTCCGTGTGGCATTCTGAGAAAGGCCTGGCTGCCGATTGGACGAGGCCAGAGGACACTGAAGTGTTGAAGCTCAATGCTGAGACTCCAAAAATAAGAGGATGTTCCTCACAGTTTGACACGGGACTAAAAGCAGCCAGACTGACTGACTGACATGAGGAAAAGGGTGGGCAATGTTGCCACAAGGATTTCTGGGATATTCCGTTTCTACAGCTGTGATGGTTTGAGTCCGTGATCCGTCTTCCTGACTCCTGATGAATATAAATACTCAGTTAGGTGTCAGGAGGATGAAGCTTGGATGTTCACTTTGGCTCCCCACGATGAAGGTAGTGATCCCAGTACGACCAGTGTTTTCCCTCAAAATGTAGACGGGACTGTCCTTAACATGCTGAGCTGTATCCTTGCTTTTAACATGGCTTTTGTAGGATTTCGAATTGTAGTGCTAGCATTTATTTAAATCACCAATGTTAACACAGTTGCCGTCTTAAAGTATGAGGCTCAATGCTAATTTGTATTGTTTTTGTTAAGGTAAAACCACACACAATTGTTTAGATGTCTTTGTTTTACATTGGTTAAACAAACTGGAAGACTGACAGGTTTAAATAAGGACAGGTA